TGTCGGGGTCACACGCCTCTACTATGTCGCCTAGCCTGAGCTTGTTTCCACCGCTCTTATCCGGAAACAAGGTACATCCGAGGAGTAGAAAAACATAAGCACTCAGCTGTGCGTCGTGCGTCCTACGTGCACTGGGGTACAAACACCGCTGCAACACGGATGTGATCTTCACACCTCCGTGTTCCCAAACACCTAGCGCCTTGGTGTACAGTGCAGCCCTGTCCACCGCCAACAACTCTGCCAGCAAAACTGCCTGATCCGCATCAGCCACAACACAAAGTCGTTTACCCTCAACACGAATCCCCATAATGGCCTCGACGTCATGTAACATGATCGTCATCTCACCGAACGGAAGGTGGAAAGAGTTTGTATCCGGCTGCCATCGCTCAATGAAAGCCGTGATCAGCGTACTGTCAATCTTATCGTGCATGGTGGCAGGAACGTGATTCACCCCAGTGCCCTCCAGTCGCTCGAACATCTCGCTCTCCGCCGGCCAAGCCTTAGCCCATGTACGTAAAAAGCTACAAGTCTTTTCCCGGGTATGACATTTCAACAACCCCGTAACTGAAGGCCTCTCCTGGTCCTCCCAAATACGGGCAGCTATGTGTCCTAGAAAGCTAGGAATCACACTCCCGTCAACAGGCCCACCGGGCACCTCACTCCTAACAACCCAAGAATCATTACCGGCCCTCGACCGTTTCCTGCTTGCCCCAGATACAGTGGACGCAGATGATGTGCCAGATCTACTAACAAACCTACCACCCCTACCCTTACGCACCTCCACCATATGTGTCTCGTACATGTCATCAACCCTCTGACTAAATGGACCGTAATCATCATACGGTCCACTGCCATCGTCCACATCCTCATCCTCATCTGCGCCCTCCTCCTGCTCCTCCTTCTGGTCACCCTCCTCAGCATCATCATCGTCATCCTCATCCCGACGGTGGATCCGTTCTCTACGAGCTGAGGCCGAAATACCACGGGATCTGACATGTCTATGCCCCGAACTCTCCACTGAATAGCTTCTACTAAGAAGCTCTACTTTCTTCCCCGCACCATGACGACCCAGTGAATTCTACACAAAATTTTAAAATATATAAACATACAAAAATTTATACGAAAAATAGCTACCACTACCCAAATCAAATAAACTAAAAACATACTAACAAATTAACATAATAAAGAAATTAACAAAACACTTAAATAAAAATAATAGAATAAAAAATACACTTAGAAAGGAAATAAAACCAACACAGAAGAATATATATAAACATAAATAATTCATTCCCAATTAAAATAAATTAACTAACCAAAAACAATATCAATAATAAAATTTAAAATAAATTAACTAACCAAAAACAATATCAAAGTCACAAAAAAAATATAAAAACAAATCAAAATAGAGAATAAAAATAAAAATGTACAAAAAAAACAAACAAATAATTGTAAACAAAATACAAACATAGAAAAAATACAACAAAATTGAAAAAATTTATAAAAATAAACAACAAAATATAAAAACAATTCAATGAGATATTACACAAAAAAAAAACAATATTTTAAAACAAATATAAAAAAAAAAGAAAAAAGAAAAAAAAAAGGGGGGGGGGGCGCCTTGGCTGGACGCCCAGCCAGCGGTGGTGGCGCCAGCTGCAGACTCCGCCACCAGTGGGCTGGCGCCTGGGCTGGACGCCACAACCACGGCTGCGGCGCCTTGAATAAACGCCACAACCGTGGCTATGGCGTCCAGCCCAGGCGCCAGCCTACTGGTGGCGGCGTCTGCAGCTGGCGCCACCACCGCTGGCTGGGCGTCCAGCCAGGGCGCCCCACCTCCGTCACGGCGGTTTTCCCTTTTTTTTTTTTTTTTACAAATTGTACCTTGCCTCCTTGGGACCTCCTTCCCTCCGCCGCCGCCGCCAATTCCTTGTCTTGCCGCCTCGACATTGCCGTTGTTTGAAATTTTTTTTTTTTAGAGAGGTTGAAAGAAGGTAAGTGATGAGAGTGTGAGTGTTTTTTTTTTAGGTCAAGGGCAATATTGTCAAACCAAGTGAATTTTGTGGGCTTTATGTAGTAATTTGTGGGCGATGTTTAACAAATCCCATTTATTATTGTTGATTGTCAATGCTTTGGTTGATTTCCTATTGATTGATTTAATGCTATGCAATTAGATTAAGCCTGGTTTAATTGTATGAGGTATGCAATATTGATTCGAGACTCGAGAGATGAGAATTGATGTTTAGGCTTAATTTCAATAGGCGGGTTAAATTATAAATGGTTAAGTCAAGATTCGGAAGATGCGATTTAATACCGGTAGATTAATTCTGTGATTGTAGTACGTGGCGAAAGCCCTTTATGATCTGATTAATTGATGCATTGATAATTGATTGTTGTGTTTTACCCTGGAATATTATCTATTGGTGAACCTATACCCTATGCTTTGATTTATTGATTTCTCCCTTATTTAATCTGCTTTAATTTAATTATTCTCCTTAGTTTAATCCCATAAAAATAATTTGGTTACTTGATAATCTAGATTATATTAATTATTTAGGAATAGAAAGACTTGTTTCCCTGTGAATTCGACCCTACTTCTCTATCTGCTTTAGCTAGAGGATTTAGGTAATTCTTTTGATTAGGAGATATGACTAGAAAGACTTATTCATATGGTGATGAATAAGAAGTAGCTCATTACTCTAGTAAATTGAAATATCTTCTTTTATTGATGCGGAACATTCATATGTGATATACCGACATTTCATGTGTCTAGAGGTACTAAACTTTCAAATAATGAACCCAGTTTGTTGTCATACGATACATTTTTAATTAAAACTAGGCAACTATGTTAACATAGGATTTAAGCTTAGAGACTAAAAGTAAAAACTACTAAAGGTCTGTTCTGTTCACCTTATTTTTATTTATTTCAGATCTCATAAGTTTAGATGAATTCAAATAAAATAAGTTTTGATGAGGGTTGATAAGGATTACCTTAATATAAATTACAACTAGAGTAAGTTTTAATAAAGGTGTAATAAATTTAGATAACTAAAAACTAGGTGAATAGAACACAACCTTAATGCACCTATTTTTCACTTTCTTGAACTTATATTATTTTAAATAAACTTACTAGACTTTATTAAGAAAAAATTAGTTGTAATTCAAACTTAAGTAACGTTTATTAATCATTATCAGAACTTATCTGGCCTAATACCAGCAAAGGTGAACAAATAAGGGCCTAAAAGAAACTAAGAAACTAATATGAGTTGTGTTTGCTCTATTGATAACTTCCCTACTAATGATCCTATCTTCCACTTTTAGTAAGGCTTATTTCTAGAATGGTGGGTAGATAAACAATTTACAACTGCATATATTAGGAGAAACTGTTGTCTTTTGTTAAGAATGGGAATGTTCCGATGGTTGCCAATTTTGTATGCCCCACATTTTCAAACTCCCACTACTGATTTCTGGTACTACTAGCAAGTAGCAACCGCAAATGTTGATTTTCAACGGTTTACCAATTAGGACCAAAATGTTTAAATGGGTCGTATTTATAACCCATTAATGTGCTAGGCCACCCTTATACTTTGGGCTTTAACTTTGTTGTTATTCATTACTAAATAAGAATGTACTTAATACCCAAAATCATTTATGAGATCATTACTAACTAAAAACTTTGACTCTTTGAGGACAACAGGTCAAGAAAAAACCTTTATGTACATTTCATATCATCAATTAATCCTCGACAACGTTTATACTTAAATTCAAACTCTAAAGAGATACTAACATATTGCTCGGATTAGAGGAAATGGAGAGAAGGAAAATGGAGCAGAGCAAGCATCCTTGTGTATATAAGAGGATGAATAGATGAGGTGGAGGGAGACGGAAGGATCTATTTTCCATTCTTCTTTAATAAACATCATCCTATTGAATAAACACCATCCCTTTAAAATCAAAGAGATTTAGAGGTGCAAAAGAGTTTCGCCTTTCCCTAATTTCTTGATCTATTGCCTTTCTTTCCCCACCCCATTCTCCACTTTCCTAACTACACCGCAATTTGTTATCCAAACAAAGTGTAATATGAGATATAGTTGTTAACTCTTTTACTTTTCAATACATACATTATTTTGGTGTTTACGCAGAAATTGCTTGTGATCTACTAGTATTTTTGATAGATACGTACATTTCAGTTATTAATTATTAATGCACATGCTTGATCCACATTAATTGTTTTTTTGGCCACAAATCACTTCAGATAATGACTTCTGCTTGTATTAAATCAGGTCCTACAAAAACAGAAAATTTCTTTTCTAAAAATAAAGACAATGTAACTTTTTGAAATTACTCCATAAAAGAGGAACACTTATAAATAGACATGATTGCACAGCCCACCTATTTCTAGAGATAAGCTTGCTTTAAGTTCTTGATTGAAAAATACAGCTAACAGATTTGAAATACTTATGATTTTCTAACTTAAGTTTTTTTAACATTTAAGAATATTCCTATCAGATAGTTGGAGACATTGAAGTGTGTACTAACCAATATATTTAATAGAAATGCATATTTCATTTTCATGATGTACGCTAATAGTCTAATAAACATGCTATAAAGGTCTTATTCACTATTACTACTATGGCGTTACGCATGTGCAAATGCATCTCGGAGATAGCTACGTCTACCCACATTTCAAACTTCGCATACACAATGAAAAGATATTTCAAAATACTCGTATGGTAGATAAAATTTCTTGAATACCGAATCTTCCCCTTCGATGATGAAGCTCAAGTTGCCTCACAAACAAACTCATTTGGCAGGCCGTTATAAATTGACAAAAATACGCATTCTCAAATAATGTCACGTCATCATGGACTTTGGCTTCATATTATGAGTGTGATCATTTATATCCATCTTTTAAACAGGCCAAAAATGCCAAACAAATGTACTATGTACTTTGGGTAAATCTCATTTTAATCTAGCTTTTCTGAACACCAGTAAAACCACAGTGAGGTTTAATGATTCTTGAAAATATACCATTCAATAAGTACCCAAGTTTTGTGTTACAAGACTTGCATTACTAATGAATGCCTTTTTCAATTGAGCTTTCTACAATGAATATAGATGGATTTAGTAAGATGGGTGGTGGTAGAAAAAAAAAAAAAAAAAAAAAAAACTGAAAATTGCCACCCCAGCATCGTATCTACTGCAGCAGACGCTCTTTGCTTATTCTGCTAGACATCGTATAACTTAAAACCAAGACAAAAGAGAACTGAACACACTGATTCATTCTATACTTGACAATCACTCTTGCTGTGCCTCAATCGCGTAATTACAGGGGCCCTATGGTTGCCTTATAGCTTCATAGGAATTTTGTCGCTGGCTTCAACTAAAAAAGAAAATATATCGTATACTGAACTTCACTTCTGTTCCAAAAATCTGTTGACTTTGATTTTCTCTATTGACTTGTGTCGTGGTATAAATAAATCAATATTTAATCACAGGTAGCTACCCTAAAGGCTTGTAGTCGTAGATCACTTTGCGTGCCTCTTGAAGAAAGACTTCTGGCAGACGAGGAGTTTCTTGTCATTGTTGCTCTCAATTTCAATAACACGAGCTTCCCATTTCAGTCGTGCTATAAGGGGTCTCATAGACTCGATTAAATTAGCTTTGTCTCGGAAAATCACCCATCCCTGAGCCAATACTCTATGTTAGCTGCTTTTCTAAAATGTGATATAATTAAATTGATTAAAACTCTCTTTTACTTTGAAATGAAAACTGATGAATAAAACTAATTTAGATACCTCAGGCCGAAGAATTCGATCAATCTCAACAAATATATCGAGAGTATTACATCTGCGTTGGGAACCTTTTTCTAGAGTGAGAAGACCATCAGCATGCACCAAGTCGTAAGTTCGAGGGTATGTTGGAAATGCTTCACACCTATACAAATAAGAATCACACATTCTTCAGCAAATAGTTACACTATATCCTCTATGTCCTAGGCCAAAGCAAAGTTAGAAATAAAACCTAAGGTTATCAACAGTATGGTGCAACTACAAGTCTGCATTTTTCATGATAAGTAATGCATCATGTATCGTAATACTATCAATCATCACATTTTCCCAAACTCCTTAACAGGTAAAGCTAAGTGATACCCTAATGTCTGGGTTTTATTTCAACTGACCTACTTAGATTTTGGCTTAAAACCTCCCGCAACAGAATATGAGGCCATTTTCTGCACATTATATGCACCAGATGACCAGAATCCTAATGCACCAGCCACACAGTAAAAAGCTGATACTGATTATACTACTCCAATTCTTGTTTTGCTGCCCATTGTATTTAATGTATAATTCATTACATACGGAAGTTGGAAAACTGGCCTGGCCAATACCTTTTGTACATTTCATGTATAACCAGGCACTGTAATCTCTTTAAAGTGCTATAAATTCAGCTTGAAAAAAATATGCAGTTCTATTAACGACGGTATCAGATGTTCATGTCCCCTTCAAGAATGAGGAATACAGTATTCACTGACAATATGCTGCATTAGCAATTATATATAGCAGTAGATAATATAGTGGAATCTCAAGACCATGAATTGACATAAGGGTTCACAAGGGAGGAAGAAAGAGTAAATTTTCTTACTTACCAGTCATGTAATACACCAACATAACCCCGGTCCAGAATCAAGGGCAGGTAGTTGGGACCGCTTGTAGGTACAACATTCATGACCCACGCAGATTTTCCAGTGTCCAGCAAAGCAGCATTAAAACCACCAAAGCGAGCATTCATGTCTAGCACATTTCTGAGCATATTGTAAGGGGGAGAAGGATCCTCATCACCGGGTCTCTTTGGATGGTCTGAGAAAATAATAGGGGAGAGAAGGGTCCAATAATCACGAATTGCAGAATTCCAATTTGAACTATCTTCAGCCAAGTCTTCTGGATGCAGTCCTGAGGAGTCAATAGTGTGTCAGCTAATTATACAAAGAATCAAGATAAAAGCTGCAGTTAACCATCACATGAAATCAAAATAAATCAAACAACGCAAACTCAAGATATCTTACCATGAGGTTGAAGCTCCTTTTCATTCATTTTGGCCCGAGACGGCCAAGTTAACTTTTCTTCAATGGGAAGCCAGCGACTGCTATGAGCTCCACCTATGCAAGTTTGGAGCGGGCGGTAGTATGGAGATTGAATATCTTGACCCTTGCTACATACACTCGGGCTTGAACCAGGTTTCCTGAAATATAAACATTCCAACGACATGTCACTCACTATCACCCAGGAAACTGCAAAAGAATACTCGTCTATAAGCAGGTAAATAACTGACCTAGAAAAATAGCAATTCCTTTTGGCAGTCTTCTTCCACACAACAGTTTCATCCTGTTGGGACAACAATTTCCAACAAAGCTTCTCTGTATAATCATGAACAAGATCCCATCTCTTCTGATTCACTTTATTACGGGCATTGGTAAGAGGTGAAGTCCAGACAAAGTATCCACCGGGTCTTAAGACTCTATCAGCCTCAAGTAAGAACAAGCCATCTGCATGATTTGGAATATATCATATATCACCCAACTTTGACATCAAGCTAGCAAAATAAAAACATTTTGCCACAATTCGCATCTAAGTTGCCTTGCAAGTACCAGCAAGGCAAGAAAATTGGATTCCTTATACCTCTAATGAATCGAGCATCATAGAAAATCTTAAGACATTACAGATTGACCTTTAGGAGAGTCTGATACTATGGACCTATTTTCTGAAGGCTCTTTTGGCAGTGCAGGTTCTTATTCTTATAGAGGGTGGTAATAGCCCCAGCATCCCAGACACCAGGTTCCAAAGAAGAAATTTAAGTTTTTATAAGAAATATGAAGTAGGATAGGAAACCCCAGCCACCAAACAATTATAGGAAAGGCGATTCTTGAGAAGGAGAATTCAGGTGCATAGCATCCATCAATATCTTCAGCAAAACATTGACAATTTCTTTGGCAATTCCTTACTGATGATGTACATTCCACTACGAATATGTCAACACTCCTTTCCTCTATCAATATTCTTTTAATAAACTTTATCCTCCAAGACATTGTAAAGGAGGCATGACAATGATCCAATTGGGTGGGAGCAGTCTAGAGGTTTTCATCTAGCAAATGTCAAATGGAAACATCTAATTTTCATATTTTATACTAACATATAAGAAAGACCTGGTACCTTTCAGATCCCAGTCAATGCCACACCGCGCACAATGCACCATGTCATAAGAAAGAGATGGAAATGGTAACTGTTTTGTACTGAAGGAACCAATCATCGCTGGAAGACCTCTTTCAAGTGTGAGTTGTACTTGACTACCTGAAGCCTCATAGGGCGCAATACACATGGTCAGTAACTCTTTTGAGAACAGATGCGCTCCAAAGGTACCATATCCACATCCTATATCTAGGATATTTCTCACCTGCACCAGAAAAAGATGCTTTATGGCTCATGAACACTTGAATAGTATTAGAATCTGGGATATTACAGGCCTATCTCAAGGATGACAAGGTACATACTACTTTTGATGGGGTCAAGAAAAAGGAATACGCAAAAAATCATGTCTTATTAAGCTGAAGAATATAGAAATTCTGAAACAGTTAGCTTCAACTTTGTCAATGGTTTTTGTTAAAAGGAATTTAAAGCAAAAGCAATGAGATTATCCACAATACTAGCTCAAAAGCACATAAAAAAATACCTCACCATTCATATGGGCCCCTTAGATTCTAAGAAGTGAAAGATTTAGAATTAGATATGATGCAGTACACATTAATCCATTTCCAATGGAGGCAAAAGATTCACAAATTTATTTCGGCTTAGGATTATGATTCACTAAATTACAATGAATCATTAATACTTTGTGCATCTTTTTTTATCGTGAAGGGCCAAATGCCCAATGGACACAACCTCCCTAATTGAGTTGGTTAAGCTGTATACATCCAACCCCCACAACCTTCCCAAGGAGAGAGCCCTATCTAGAGGCCAGGCAATGTTAATTGCAAGGGTAGGGGATATATATGTATGATTACATCAACGAAGAAGATTACCAATTGCAAGGACAGGGAACTATAAAAGTCTGATTACATTAACCAAAGAAGATTACATACCCCGGCTTGTTTAAAATTGGAAGAACTTCTTAGCCCAATGATTTCAGCAATTTGATGTGAGTAGTCCTCAATGTTATCTGACGTGAGTGAGTCAGAGCGGAAAGAAATTTGTTCTTCGTCTAACATCATCATCCTGTAATTAAAGCCAGGGGGATTAACAACAATGAAGCAGAAACCACAAATTGAACTCTCCGTCCCAGACAAGTGAAAGGGGTGGTTTCAGTTCACCTTTTGGTCAAACTTCCAGAAGAAAGTACTTCTTGAGCGGAAATCTTTACATTTGCAACCCAAATGACATCTCTTCCAGTAGGCCATCTCAGAGGAATCTTGTAATTCACAGGAGGTAAAACCAAGCAATTTTGCTTCAAACTGTGCTCACAAAGACGATCAAATTCATCGCCATCAGCATAACCTAAACCCGAGCTTTCTGAAACATTGTAGCAAGGCACAAAATTTTCATCTTTCTTAGAACAGAAATCCAATTCTCTCAGTTTTGCTGGCCCTTGAGATAGATCACTGATGGCTGTAAGATCTGAGACGAGCTGCTCTTGCATCCTCCTATAACTATGGTAAATGTGACCTCTTGACGATGCAGTAATTGATATTGTCCACCAAAATGACCCAGTTAAAGCAAGAATCACTATAACAACTAAACTGGTTCTAAGAAGAAGCAAAGTTAACTTATGCCGACTTCTTGGACTTCCACCACTAAACAATTCTGTTGTAAAACCATTTTCATTAACACCCAACTTTGATGGGGCATTATCCGAAGAATTTAATCGAAAGGGTAACTTTACTGAAGAATAGCTTTGGTCAGACAACGAACGACCAGCTCGAGTATCATCCTTTTCTGTTTTTTCTTTCATTTGAGAGTCCTGGGAATCCCAAGAACCATGATTGTTACCAACAGAAAGACGCCGTTGCTCACCAGATATGCCTCTTTGAAGAGGCCTTGACATTTTATACTACCGCGAATCCTACAAACGCAACCTTTTGGATTTCAATACAACTGCTGAATAAAATCTACAAGTATCTTTGTGTAATCAAGTCCACTACATCGCCATTGCATCACCGTATATTATAACAACCTATTACAAGATGCATCCCTGAGGGTGGCAGCAAAGTATGACAACAATATTGGAATATCAGATCCAACTAAACAATATCATTCATTTGAAGCATATAAAAAGACATAAATATAGATTTTAAACACTCAAAGTCAAAAAAATTCTTCTTTTTCGACGACAATACAAGGTGGAATCCAGATTTGGATGCTTATTACAAATGAAACAATATAATTGTAAATGATTTATATAACTTCAAATTATAAGCATAAACAACCTTCACCGACACTCTATTTTAGTTCAGTCACTCACACTCCTTTAATCACTACTACAACTTTTAACAAAACTAAGATCAAACCAAAAATTAAACTAATTGAAAAATGGAATGAACCCAGCAAAATTAAATTAATTTACTGATACTAACTAAAAACCCATTATGATTAATCCACTAATCAACTAAAACAATAGTTTAATTTGAAATTTATTCCTTTTGTATTAAACATACTAATTATAAATCAAGAACAAAAAAATAAACCCAGATAGTTTCAAACTGAAAATATGCAGAATCAAACAAGATCAACGTACTATTATTCCTACAATACTAAAGTCTAAACATAAAAAGACAGATTATGCAAAATAAAAAAAGAGAAATACCTGAGATTTTGAAGTTTGAACTTTGAACCACTGAGATTGAGAAAAAAAAAAAAAAAAACAAAGAAACCCCAGAAAAATTTCACACTGTAAAAAAAAATAGAAAGATTCAAAATTTGGGAATTTTTCTTCTTCAATCTCTCTCTTACTCCCTCTATACAATCTTATATACCCAGAAAACCAAGAAAATCAGGAAAATCAAAGATTTTGTTTAAATGAAGTCGTTATAATATACTTGTTGTAATACTGATTGAAACATTATACTAAAACAAAACAAATGCAAGTTTTTATTACTCACTTTCCTATCACCTCTGCAATTACTAATGTAGTGTAATAGCAGTAGATGCTGTGTATTTAATGCTCAATTTTCAAATAACTTATTTCACCTCTTTTTCTCTCTCCTCTTTCTTTCTCTCTGTTTTATTATATACTGTGTGAATCCAGAAATTTTTATACGCGCTATCCAAACAATAAAGATAATACTAGAGAGAGAAAAAGGGTGGAAGGGAGGTCGATCTGCAAAAATTATAGAAAAAAATGTAATTTTTTTCAGTAAGATTAAAAATTACCCAAGTAAAAATTAACTGGATTTAACAAAACCCAGATGTTAAATCTTGCAATTGATGTTAAAGTTTTGAGCTTTTTCAAGTTAAAAAACTAAAAATCGCAAAAGTTTCTCTTTCTAATTAATTACTACTACAATATTTAATGAGTCGGGATTAGCTTAAGCTGTGTTTTAGGCTATGGTTTTCTGCTTTCTGTCACTTAAAATTTTTTTAATTTTTTTTCTGGGGATGAATTAAATGAGTATTTTTTGGGTGAAAAAATGAGAAAAATATTACGTAGATCTGCTAAAAATAAGGAGGCATAAACTTACCCAGAATCTATTGAGCTTCCCCCAGTTCATAAGCCATATGAACAAAATTCGTTCATAAGATGGCATTTTTGAAAATATTGAAACATCTTTCATTATTTTATTGTTTTCGTTCTTTTTAGCTGGCATGGCACTTAACTTGGCCGTTACCGCATGATTAACAGTTCTCCAATTCCCATCTCGTTTTGTCTTCTCTTTGGTTAAGCTCTGCCTCACCAGTTGTCTGGAGAACACGATCATGAAGTTGTCTTCTCTACTTCTGCACTCGATTTTTTTTCAAGGTTTGAAGATAGCGAGATTCCGAATTGATGTCCTTAGCCTCTAACAGAGTTCCAAAGACTAGAAGCAGCAAAAACAAGCTGAGGCCAAACAGCAGCGACATCGCGAAAGGCAACAGTAGAAGTAACACCAATGGCGACACTTTCAGGATAACCAGGTTTAGAATCAAGCTTCATTTCAATAATAGCAAGACGAGTATTAGCAGTATCAAGCTTTCTAGAAGCTTCCGCCATTAACTTATCTTTCTTCCCTCTTCCAGAAGTAAAAACCCCAATTGATCAGCAATAAAAACCCCAATTCGTTTAATTAGTGTTAATTTGTGAAATTGGTGATCTCGTTTGTTGCAATTGGTAAATATATGCATGTAAAGGGTTATTGTGTGGTTGAATTGAAGTTTTTTTTATTGAATTTTATTCAAAATAACCGGAAAAGGCAATTGATTGATGGGGTTAATTGGGGTTTTTATTGCTTGAACTTGTTGTAATTGGAATTCAGTATACATTCCTCATTCGTGGCCAACTTAAATGCATTTATTAACGGGATTATAGTCGCCGCCAAGTCGACGCGCCGCCACCACCTCCTCCACACTTTATCATTCGTATACAGCAAATGTGTAAAGGCCAAGAAATTTCAGACAAACTCCAATTGACAGTCCCCTCAGTTGCAGAAGCTTGCTAAAGCTTACTGAAGTAGGATGGGTGAGCTACGGGATCATAATTCTTCAATAACGGGATGTCACATTTCCAAAACAGCGGTAGTTTGAAGTTAAGAGACAAATTTCATTTGGACGACTTTACCCTAACTATACCTGGCAAAATGACTCAAATAGCCTCTTATAAACGAAATTCGTTCATATGGCTTATGAACGAGGATTTTCTCGAATCTATTTGCCGCTCAATTTTATAAAATCTTTATTACTGTAGTAACTTTAATCTGTTGTAGTAATAGTAACAGTAATTGCCTTTTTACATATTTTTTTACTGGTGGGTGGTGTAGAGTGAAGAACGATTTTCTTTTTGTGTCTGTTTTTTTTCATCTTTAATAATATGCTGAGAATTCATTTTATTTTTTTTTACATACTTTTGGATTTTATTTCAGATAATGGGGTATTTAGTTTTAATAAACGTCCAAAACAAGTATCTATCTAAGCCTGGGTCACGTGAGTTTTAGTCTTTTGGAGTGATGATTTATCCAATTACAGAGTTTTATTACTACAAATTAGGTCTATTTTGAAATAATGGTTACACTTTTTCATTACATTGTCGTTTTTTCAATTTTGAAATATGTTGGGTGTTCAATTTTTGCTCTTCCAAATGAGTAAAAAATAGTCTGATTGTACACTTTTACCCGGGTGAAAGAACAAGTTCGTTGTGCAATAAAATAGGTCTACATCAAGTGATACTCGTTCATTTTTTTAACAAAAGCAATTGTTTTGTTTTCATGGTTAATGGTCAAAGATCACATTTAGGATTGTAAAGTTAAATTAATGCACTTGGTTCACCTTAGTTCAGTATCCTTTTACTTACTATCGCTGTTTTTTTTTTTTAAAGAAGTCTCAAAGGACATTAATTTTTATTAATGAAAGTCATACGGCATCTACAATTGACAATTAACGATAATGAAAACAAGTTTAACAAAATCAAACAAGAATCAACCTAGGAAGAACTAAGAATCCAAATACATAGATATAACAATTCGGCACATTCTCGATTCGTTGTCTCATACAATTTTTTGAGTGGATCCGTCGCCACTTCATAATTTGATTGTGAAAGAGAAAATTCTTGTGTTGATTCCGTAACCCGAATTCGGACAATAATCAATCGTAGCCCCGCATAACTAGAGACCATATTAAGCGCAAATAAAACCTTGTATTTCGAAAGAGTTCGAAAAACCTTGTCTTTCAAAGGAGATCGGAAAAATCTTGTCTTTCGAAGGAGATAAATCCTTTCTTTCGAGGAAGTCATTATTATAATCTAAGAAACAACAAAAAAGCATAAAAGAAACAAAGATTGGGGCTTTCCACCGGTGAAACCCGATGGAAACCCCTTCAAAGTTAACAATGGAGGCTAGAGTGTAGGAGAGAGAAAAGAGAGGAGCGGCTAGGGTTTTGTAATCTGAGATTTATGAATACGTTTTTAAAAATGTAGTATCTCTGTTTCTTATTACCACATATTTGTAACAAAAGAATTTTCTATGTCTCACATGATAATATCGTTTTGTTGCAAATAATAAGAAATGTAGGTAGTATATATATTTATCATAACGTACTAGATCATGCTATATAGTCGCTTGGATTAGATCGAAATAATGCTCTATTCACTTTTTTTTTTAATTTATTAACTATACTTTACTATTAAATCCATACAAGGTTGGACTGGACCAAATCTTACTATCATCATTTATAATTGCAATTAGATATCTTTAATCCAACATTAATAAAAATATTTCAGACTTGGATGAGTCTAATAAGACCTCATTTGATGACGTGTTTTCTTATATTTAAGCAAACAAATTGAATAATATGTAAAGTTAGTCGATCGAATTAGACTAGCTAGATTTAAAAAATAAATAAATAAACATTTCATGCCTTATTTCAGGCGAAGAAAGCATTAACTTATTCTAGAGGTGATCAAAAACTCGGAACGAGCCTTAATATCATAACTCATGCCTAAACCCATCCAAAAAGTGGTGGACTTCTTGGGCCAAAGCAAGCTTGTCCGGCTTTTTTGGGTCGAAGCCGGGTTTTTAACTAAATATGTATATTAATACTTATAGCTTGCCCAAATCTGCCCATTTTTCGAGCCAAACCGGGCCGGGCTAGCTAGCCAGGTCGTAGTATACCACCTCTAAGTCTTATTCTATCTCTTCTATATTGCATAATCACTTGTTATTAGAGAACTTCTAAATACTATAGTTCTCTCGATTATGACCTAGCGTAATTGTTTATTTATTGTTCATCTATTATACTCTGTATCAAAATACGTATCAATTCCTGTAGTATTTTAAAGAAAATAGAAAAATCTTCATGCAGATAAGCACTAAAAAAAATTCTTTATGGCAGGGTGAGATTTAATTTACTTTGGTAGATGTGCAATTGATCTAGTTTTATGTTTAATTAAGTTTTATGTCTAATTAAGTTTTATGTCTATTTTTTCGTAACCATATCTTTTATAGAAAATTTTGTACAGTACTACAGTAATATATGCCCAAAGTGTCAGCATAGAAAAACAAAAATTAGTCAAATGATGAAGTGAGAGTTTTATCATGTTACCTCCACGGCTTCACCTTAATGGTCTTTTAATGCACGTCTACGCAGGTATAAGTGAATTAAAGAATTCTACCCTCAATTTAGAGACTACGTATTTGCATTTCCATTGTGATCAGACCATATTATTTTTAGTGCTCTACTCATATAGAGTAAGAAAGAAAACAAGCGTCAAAATCATTATTATATATCTCCGTTTCAAATTATTTACAATGATAAGATATGTAAATAATTTGAAACGGAGGTAATATATAGAGTGTCTAACTGCCAAATATCAACACTTCTAAATAAACGTTATTATCTAAAAGTACATTCATCATTCATCGTCATTCCTCATTCATAAACATCTAATTTGTTTATAAAAAAAATGCTAAGAATGTACAGTACATCATTCATACGTATGTGAGTGTCAGAGTGTGTGTATGATGTATGAATGTATACTTTGGTGAGAACCTATAAATGTACTTCGTACATCTTAGATTACTTTACATTGTATTTTCTTTTGTAATATACGGAGTAAGCAATGTATCCTTTACCTCTATGAATGTATGATGTGTGCCTAATTTTTATTTTTATTTATTTATTTATTTATTTTTGGCAAGTTGCCTTAATATTTAAAGATATACTTCGTATACCTTAGATATTTATAGCATATATCGTATACCTTAGATATTTATAGCATATAGCTTGTAAATAAAAACATATTTTAGAAATTGAAACAATAAAAAAAAAAATTAAAAAAAAAAAAAAAAGGAAAAACCGTAGTATGTGTATGTGATACTGTGATGTACCTTAGCTTACTTATAAGTATATAATACTCCATACATATCCTTTAAGTCATTTAACTCATACTCCGATCCGTGGTTTATAACACACCTTATCCTTAGTAGTCACATACGTGACCTTAATTGTTAAGATTGCCCATGAGCTTGTTTCAAAGATCTTATTTTCATTTTACGAGTAGCTTTTGTTTCAATTTCTAGATGTTTGATTCATGCATTTATTTGTATTGTGGACTATGGTCTTCACCCATACTTCGTAAGGTATCTCCAGTTGTATGAATGAATTCATCCCTTTTTTTTTTGAGATTTGCTTTGATGAACATCAGATTGTAGACTAGCTATAGGCCATACGAATTCTTGAGGAAGTCCTACTTTAATTATATCTCATTGTGAGACCTTTGTAGGGGAAAATTAAAATTATATTTATGCTTATTAGGGTTTTTATTATTATTTTTATTTAAAAAAATAAAATTGACAAGAGGATTTATGCTTTTTAGTTAATACTCCAATAAATGTAATAATATTAATAATAAAAGCTTGCGGATAGAGAGTTAGAGAGAAAGGAAAAAGCTAAGACAGTGAACCTTATACACTGATTGTAGTCATATACGTGAAAAGTGAGAAAGAAAAGAGGTTGAAATCACAATAATCTGTTAACACCATTGTAAAAGTTTGGAGTACAATTATAAGTGTTACGAAGAATGTTACAATATCCAATAGTGTTATATTTTAACCACTTAATCTGTTTTAACTTCCAAATATTTACCAATGTCATGTTAGCTATTTACCCAACATTCGTTCAACTAGCTATCGAAAACACCTCATGGCTTATATATGCATCCCTAACTCTTTCTAAATAAAAATTAGGAAAACTTTGTTAAAAAAAAAAAAAAAAAAAAAAAAGACGACATTTTATAATGGTTCATTCTTTTTTGACAAAAGCCTTAAAAAACTTTCGGTTGTGAACAGGCTAAGGACCTTACATACATTTTTGAGTTAATTCTATGTGCCAATAAGAAAGCAATAATCCAGTAAGTAATGAGATAAAATTACTTAATTAGTCATGGCGCTGAGTAAAATTTGAGTTCATAATAGTGTATTAAAAGTAGGATACCTTTTAAATCACTATCACATTTTCCATCTCAATTTTTTTAAGAAATTTGATAATGCAGGTAATGTAATTAAATTATAAAAGGGAAAACTCTTAATTTCATGGTTGAATTGTAAGGTGGTTCATTTTTAACTTTTGTATCGATCTAGAGACCATGTATACTCCATAATCCATATTAATTTTATTAAAAGAGACAAATAGGGAATATATTAAGGTTGTCTACTTGTCTTTATTTAGTACGATAGTCTAACGTCGTTGGATAAAATGAGTATGTTGTACGACTTACTTTTTGCAAAGCAAGAATTCATTAAGATCACAATTCACAAACTCAACATTTATGGACTTCAAATCCATACAAGTTACATTGAATTAATATTGTAAATATAATTGATGATTGCTGAACTGTAACCTTTCTAAACAAAACACATGTAGTTCCACATTGATAAAAGAAAAGAGGGTTATTTCTACTAGTTTGGGATGGAACCTCGTTGGAGTTGTGAAGTGGAATTTCTCTTTAAGGTCACATTTAGCTCACCTAAATTTTACTTCTTTCATATCAGATAAAAAAAAAAAAAAAAAAAAAAAAAAAGTTCTGACATATTTTATCGTTTTTGTGCGGTTTTTTATCCCTTACAAAACTTCAAAGCATTTTCTGTGTGGCTATTTACATTACCTCAACATTTTCCTTACCATACCATTATATAACTTGAATAGTTCATTGCCATCTTCCTTACCACACCAGTACACCACCA